TTTCCCGATTTCAATTCGAGTACTCCTATGAAAGTCAATTGAAATGTGGCTTTAAGACTACAACAACAAAACACAAATCGTACGATTTCGACTTAAAAACGACTAGAGATAACTTGTGAAGACCAGAACAGACGAGTATGCCATGTATTGCTGTAAAACTTATAAAGTCCAATGTTCCGTCGGCTACTATATTCGGTACCGCTAACGCACATGCGTAAAGGCCTGTAAATTTTCCGCTTTGCTTAAAAGAACTTAGGATATGAAGAAAACTTTTCAAGAACACTCTATTTCAGAATTTGGTTGAAGAAAGCACTATTTCAGAATTCATTTCAAAAACGCCCTATCTCAGGTGCCGATTCAAAAAAGCCTTATCTCAGCAAATTGTCAATACATTTTGAAGAGAGATAGGGTGTTTTTGAACCGATTTCGGAGATAGGGCGTTCTTCATCCAAATTCTGAGATAAGGTGTTTTTCAATAAAATTCTGAAATAGGGCGTCCTTGAAAAGTTTTTTGAGATATGTAGATCTAAAATATCTTCATCGCAAGATTTTAGTCAATCGATATTCATATACCCACATTCATATATATCATCGCTTAGCGCACAATACCTCGTATCCGCCAAATGCAATACCACATATGTATAAGATAGTCCGAAAATTTCACAAAAGGGCGAAGAAACTTATTTTCTTCAAAACTTTTGAATGGTTTCCCAACTAAACTTACTAAATATGAGCTTCTACTATAATTATGCACTATGAAATTTGTGAAGTAGGGAAAGCATTGAGACAGGATAACCAAAATAAATATTTTTCTATGCCACCTCAAACGTGGTATTACATTTGGCGGATACGAGGACGATATACCGACGCCTTTGCGCAAAATTATCGTGAGTTACATTTTTTACGAATTTCATTTTTTGATGCAACTTTGTTGTACAACCCATAACGCATCACCTGCTCAAATATTACGGCTTAACTCCCAATAGCCACCCCAAAAATTGACTGTAAATTTTATCGTATGTGACAATGAATTTTTTCTTGTGGGCGAAATTATCATATGTGCTAAGAACTTTTTTCTCCGTGGTGAGACGGGGTGGAAAAATTTGATATGTTGTACAAATAAATTTAATTTTTCTATGCGAAATGCAAAGTAAAATTTTGACAGTTGAAAAACCAAACAAACGCTCGTGCGAAAGTTTTGTGGCACAATCCGTAGAGCTGAATGATAACTTCATAAAATGTTTGGCGCTTTTAACGTGGTCTGAAATACTTACTACTATAAGCAAATTTCCACATATCCTGCAATGTTCTTCATGATCTTGTTTGCCATGATAATTTTTGCCAAAAAGTGCTTCCCTGCGTGCCTCCTAGAAAAGTTTTTGTATTTACAATTACGCGAATGTACCAAGTATACTTTTGTTTATTTTATTTAGCATTACAAATTAAATTCTATAATAATTTAAATATTTGATATGTCCTTAAAAAAATTCCTAAAAAAAGTATGATTTTTATGAATTAAAAGAACAGCCTAAGAGAACTTCTCCAAAAGGCGTTCTGAAGTACGTCCTACAAAAGCCATTCTGGAAGCTCTTCTTTGAGTAGCGAAAACAGAAGCCCTTCCATACAAAAAAGAAAGGAAAAAGGAATGACTTGCAGAAAGGCATTCAGGAAGAGATTTTAGATATTATCAAGCGGGTAGTATGTATGACCCCTCAGCCGTGTACCTGTTCACGAATTTGCACTTCTTTCGCATTTGCTGAATAAACTAAAAAGAAAGAAGTAACTCACCAGATATTGTTCAACATGTTAGAAAATTATCGGTTTTCGATTTCTAATAACAGCAAGCTTAACGTTTTTTCATAGCCAAAATCTGCCAAAAATGAAACGTGTGCCTGCATTGACCTTCATTAAAAAACCAGGACAGTTTAAGTGTGGACCAGGACACCAGAACAATTTGTCTAAAACCAGAACAAATCCTGGAAACCCAGGTCGGGCAGTCCTACGTAATACAAAAATGAAATGTTTAGTCTAGTTTCATTCGACCACGAATGCCTTGATTCGGGTCGTACACTGTCTCTCTCTCCCTCTCTCTCTCTCTGGCGACCACCATCGCCGTGTAGTTAGAGGCAAGTACTAACTTTCCGTAGGATCTAGACTCGGTACCTGGTCCACGTAGTCCCTCTACTCATATCTGGAATATCAGGGGCTTATATTCAATTCTATCTATGTATCTGCATTAGTTTCACAAAAACCAGTTCCTGATGTAGGACTTGCTGTCATCGCTGATGTGATTGTATATAAGACTAGATTTCAAATGATCGATGACAGTTAAGGCTAACGTAGACTTTCATAATAATGTGTGTATGGCCGAACTTCTCCGACTTATGGCGTGCGCCTTGATGTTGTCACAGAAAGCGGAGGGACCTACAGTTTTACGCCGACTCCGAACGGCGATTGTATTTTTATGAGAAGCTGTTTTTTCATGGCAGAAATACACGCGGAGGTTTGCCATTGCCTGCCGAGGGACGACCGCTGTTAAGAAAACACCTTTTTTTTTGCGATGTTGCTTTGACCAGGGCTTGAACCCAGGTGCTGATAAGTGAAGGCGCGCACTGCTTACCACTACACCACAGCGGCCGACAAGAATTTCATAACAGAAGTAAATTATTGTGAATTGCAGATAGATCATATTGAGAAGTAAAGTCCGCTCTCGTCGTATAAATTTCGCACTCTATAAGTCAGTCATAATGCATGTACTGGTGTATGGCGCGGAGGCATGGACATTTGACGAAGTGGCTCTTGAAGTTTTCGAGAGAAAGATTATACGAAAGATTTACGGCTATGGCGAATACCCCAGACGATTTAACGATGAGCTATATGAGCTTTACAACGATATAGCCATAGTGCTGCGAATTCAAATTCAGCAACTCCGCCGACTAGGTCATGTCGTTCGAATGCACAGAAACGCGCAAGCTCTGAAAGAATTGAATGTGGTCGCGTTGCTTGGCATTTCCAATTGACGCCAGTTGGCTCATAAGAGAAACAACTGGCGTGCTGTTTTGGACCCGGCCAAAATCGCTGAGGAGGTTACAGCGCCAATAAAGAAGAAGATCGAATTGAATATAAGTCATCCAAATATTGTTCATAAAAAAAGAGAACTAAAGGGGAAATTTTTAAGAATTCAACGTGTCAGATCACCCATTATTTATTCCGGTTTCGTTAACAATATTTCACGCGGGATTCCTGCCTTAAAGACCAAGTGGTAGACGAATATTTGATAACATTATCATATTGTTTTTAATATAATCAAGAAAATATATTATTTGTCTGAGCACGCCAAAGTGGTAAACAACTTTTATTCTTTCACACGACATGTTATGACAATATTTTGAATTAAAACGACTTTTTCTCTGACGACAATCCATTAGATGGTCACTAGGCTGGGTCGCAAAAAAAGTTGTAAGGATTCCTCACCCCGCCGTCAGCTTTGAAGCTTGTTTCCCAGAAGATTATAGCGTCATGGGAAATTTCAACCTTCAGGGATAGTATAGGTACTTAGCTTGGTATCCACCTCTCAAGTAAAATCTCAAAAAATATTTCTTATTCTTTCGGATACTTGAAATAATATTTAGCAGGCAAGTAAAACAAAAAACTTTAAAAAAGTGTCGAACAAAATGTACATGTCTTGGGAGCGGAATACTGTTTAGAAATGTAACTTTTTGAAGTGAAGCTTCTCAAAGTATAAACAGAACCAAATCGCTGAGCGAATTTCGTCTGTCGAAGCGATGTCGTTGGGTGATATTCGCCGCAACATTTCGCCCAGTAAAAAAGAACAAAAATTTTGCCATTCTGATTCTTGCTGATAATTATCTAATAGAAAAATGGGGAAACGAAGCTCCATTTCCACTGAGAGCTGATTTTGTAACCGGCGGCAGCGGCAAAATTAAAAATAAATCTATACTTGCCGAATTTCGTCAGACGAACTTTGTCGGCACATTGGTTGTGTGCAATCTCATAAACTGGGGTGTGTTTTAATTTTGGCAGCGAACTTTCTTCCGACGAATTTCTCTGGGCGATTTGATTCTTTTAATCGGAAAAGTTTGCGTTACATATTTAACGCCACAGTGAACATGATGAAAGTGTGGACAGAAATGGAACGGCTGCGATGAATGCCACTTATAGCTGGTAGAGAAAACGACAAGGATATAGACAAAGGCACAGATAATAATGATAAGTAGAAGAATAACGACAGAGATAAACCAATGTCAAAGGCAAAGGCAAAGGCAGAGCCGCATGCAAAAGCAACGAAAAATACAAGTATAGAGATAGAGATAGAGATAGAGATAGAGATAGAGATAGAGATAGA